TATTTTTATATAGAAAATTGAATTGTCTAACTTTTTTTAACACTATGTGTTTAGTTTATTTGATGAATATTAAAGTTACAGCGCTTCAAAGTCAGTTTTGAAAATAATTTTTCGCCTCCTGTGTTATTTCAATGGGAGAGGTCTTTTGGAAAACAATTTTGACTTTAAAGCCCTTTAACTTTGTTGAACCTGAAGAAACATATCAAGTTTTTTTTTTTTTTTTTTTTTAATATTTTTTTTATTGAATCAAACATAAAATAATACATTAAACAAGGCAATGATAAAATATTAAACCACTTTCACACCACCTCCATTCATTCAGACATTCGCAACAGTCATACCCAGAAGTTCTGGTATATACATAAACATGGTATTTTCAAATTGAGTCACGTCCAAGTTGGGATTTACCTCATTAAATTGTTTTGCATATATATAATATTTGATTGCTAGTGATAGCCTGTTTAGCAAAGTGTTTTCATTATTTACAGATCTTCCGAACACCATATCATGGGCATTAAAATTAAGATTTACATTGAATAATTTCCCCAAATTCTCTTTAATAGCTTTCAAAAAAATCTGAACCCGCCTACATTCCCAAAACTTGTGCTTTAAAGTGTCTCTTAATGGACAGTAACTACATCTAGCATCCTGTTTAATTCCTATCTGCGTTAAGTAAGCATTTGTGGTACAAATACCATGTAGAATCTTAAATTGAAGTTGTCGAATTTTATTTTGTTTCGTGCAGCTATAAGCCATTTTAAAATAATCTATTCTTCCTAACTCACGATCATGTTCATTTTTATATAGTGGTTCCAAATATTTGTTTCTATTTAATATTTTTTGAATTGACTTCACTGTTAAACCATTCAATGACACTGGTTTTTCGCCAAGTGTTAAATGCACAAGATCCGTTTGTAGGCTCGGTTCAAAAACTGAAGTTAAGTCTCGCTTCAATAAACGTTTCCACTCCTTCGGTACAGCTGATATTATGGCATAATAATCAATAAAATTAATTTGTACGTTGTATTTTGCCTTAAAATCATAATACTGTAAAAAATGTCCCTGGTCACTTAGTTTTTGTTAAATAAAGTTAGCAAATTCAATTGCCTGCCTAACTCGTATTTTTGCAAGGACTCGGATGGATCGATATTCTGTCTTTTGACTTGCGGCAAACCTACAATTTCCCATTGGTTAACATGGGAATGTCGATTTTCAAAATTTCATCAAATGCATCATCAATTTTCGACCTATTGTAATTGAGGAAATTTTTTTAGAAAATTTGGAGGTATTGGAAATAAAGTCAAGTTACGTTTCCATCAATATTATAAGTTATTTCATCGCCGGTTAAGTAAATAAAAATTAAAAGAAAAAGAAAAATAAAAAGGTAAAGAGGCGTTAACACGTAGTTCAATGGGGAAAAAAGGTTGCCAAACTTATGGAGGGGAGTGTAGCTTAGCTGAGTGCATATAGTCATTTTTCTTCATAAATTATAACCCATTTCTCGTTATCTAGATTTCTAAAAATTCAAAATTCAGTCAATGATATCATATTTGAAATCTTCATGTAAAATTACATCTACTTTTGTTTTAATTTTTTAATGTGACTTCTTGGTCGGGGAGATTCCCCATAGACCCTATGCTATAAAATCACAAAAAGTGAAATATCTTTGCTTGTATTGGACTGATAACTTTTACTGGACATCTTTTAAGTTCTATAGCTAACATAATACATGTACATTTAAGCGTAATGTGAAAATTGAAAATTGGAATTGGATTTTTAATACCCTACCTATGCTATCTGCCTCGAATTAGCCATCTGGTGGTGAAACTGGTAACTACATGTACCTATTCGCATCAGGGTTTTTCTGATCGCCGGTAAATATGCACTTTGCATTGGATATGAATTATTAATTATTTACATGTATGAAAAAATAAAAAATCCGTTTACATAAACCTTTGTATGCGTCGTCAATCGTAATTTATTGCGGTGAATTCAAATAGTTTATTTAAACTACTGTTTTATCTTTACGATGCGTTTGATTACATTGAAAACTAACGGCATGCATAGTTTAATATCTTCCCTCCAAGACAGCATAGAATCTGAAATATTCATCACCTTGTGTTATAGAAATACGAATTAAAATATGATAGGCTACTTATCTTTTTTTGGTTTCTGGTTGTCGTGGCTCGTCTTTGCCAGTACTAAAATCATTGAAATTACATTTTAAAAGAAGGAAGGACTCCCAGGGTTCCAACTTGATACTCTGCCTTATATGAGCACTGTGGAGTCTTTGCGCAATTACAAAACTCGGAATTTATCAACAGCCGTCATTTTTTCACTTCAGAATTTGACTCGCGAGTTTTTGTCTTATTTTCAAATAAAAGATTCAAAACATACAAGAAGTGGTCAAGCTACATGTATCACTTTAACTCTTTTGGATATCAGATTATGAATTTATAGCCAATTATAATGTCAGACAACAACTACAACATTTTTAGCGTTGTCTTCAAGGTCATTAGAACATCGACCATTCTCTTCTCTTCTCTCTCGTAGAAATCAACACCGAATTAATTGTTAAAAGTTTATAAGTAATTAAACTTAATTTAAAGTAACTAAAATTTGTTTAACAACTATTAGTTACGTAATGTTACGTAATCTTAATAAAGTTCTACTTGACCCAAACAGAAGATTGGTTTTGTACTTTATTCTATATTAGTTACAGAGGGGTTAATTAACTTGTTATGTAAATACCGTACTTTTATAATTGTCATTTGTGAATCAATTTAACTAGAGATTAAAAATTAATATTGAGTTGAAATTCTTCCTTGATTTGTTTCATGTGAAATGGAAGCCATTGGATTGAGCATCCATCTTGAAAATCTCATCTTTAGAAGAGTCCCATGTCCCTAAAGCACCAGGTTATAAAATGTGAACCATATCCGTCAACTGGTATTTCGACCGGACACTTGAACGAAGGGAAGTTACATCAGAAGTAAGGTTACATCGTTTCTCTCGATATCCAAGTACATTAGGAGCAAAACCGAAGTGAGATTACATTCGATACTGTTCGTAATGTACCTGGAAATAAGTTGATGGCGGACATTTTGAAAAAACTGGCTGATATAAATATAGAAATGCATACCTATTTTGTTATCTTACGTAATTTCATAAGCTATCGGTAAACACTCATAAAGTAACATCATACTATTCGAAGCGATTAGAAATTTTACATACATTAAATTTTGCGCCTGCGTTAGCAGCATGCATTCACATGTATCAATATACTGTATAAAAGAATATGAATTGAATGTTACCGCCAAACAGGTTTTTCTTTGTATATGCGTGCGTTACTTTCTTCTAATGTGACCAATCAGAGACGATGGTCTCTCTTTAGAAATTTCAATTGGGAAATATGGTCATCTCTGAACCCTGGGATATTCCATCCTCTAAAAACTAATTAGCATTTTTACTGTGAGCGAGTCTACTTCGAAGTTTGTAAAGAAGCGAGTTATGAAACTTGAGTATAAATCCTGATAGACCAGATTACGTTTAGTAGGAGACTCAGGAGCTCAGATTTCGGTTGATTCAGATGCCAGGGGACTTGTAGAAGATCGTACCAAACACCAGTCGAGTAATAACTGAAAGAAAGCACAATGGCCTGTCCTTACCGAGATGCGTGAGTATAATTAGATTTTTTAAAAGGCACATATCTACTTTTTAAATCTAATTGGTAGCTGGTGAAAAGGTTAATGGTTCGAATCCCATGACTGACCACTTTCCCTGATTCTCATCCGTATTCGCACATACCTACGTAGATGCAAAATGGTACATGTAGTCGCGAGTAATAAGCTTACTGTTTTACAAATACTGTACAGCTAATAGCTATATCAATAGGCGTTTTAGGAAAAATGACGATTTATTAGAAAAAATGATTTGTATAGTTCTTCAACACACAAAAAGCTAGAAACTACAATAAGTTGTGAATTTTTATCATTCAAACATGTCAGATCGAATCATTGTCAAAATAATACTGCTTTTTAAACATTCCAACCCTCTATTCTTACCCTGCGTGCAGAGTGGAAGCTCTCTTTTAGATGCGAAGTCAAACGAATGCAAAGGGCATCTCTTCTTCATATTATTACATAATTGATCATACGATCATGAACAATGCATTATGTATGAAACCAATTTAAACAATAGGCACTTCCATAACAAAATGTCACCATCTGGTTCAACAAACGTGTTACAGATGCCGAATGCTGATATCAAACACTGAACACTACTCTTATACTAAGAACAACGAGCTAGTAGAAAATGATGACAGAGTAGAAATAGAATTATAAAATGATAGTGGAATAGAATGATAGAATTTACAGCATAAATATTATGGCCCAATGTCTCCATTTTTAGAGGTATTTTATCTAGATAAACCGTTTGTCTTATCCCTTAACGGGTATTTGAAGTAGACTAAATAGCGCTTGTTTTTGTATGCGCGCTATACACATTACTGTATTGCAGGGAGGATTCGCTCTCAGGATCGAAACTCGATATTTTCCTACAATGAAAACGTCGAAGAGTCGTTATTATCTGAAATTATAACCGACTATAAATTCTAAATAAACAGTCCAAAAGATTCAAACCAATATATTGATCTTTTCTCGTGAGTTTTTGAAATTTTTGATTTGGAAATAAGACCACGATTCAAATGTTGAAGTGAATAAATGGTGGCTCTTTGAATTCGAATTCTGTAATCACGACATATATCGTGTCATTAGATTCATTTTCATGTTCTTTCAAAAGGTAGATTTCTATCCTTTCCTGAGTTCTTTCCTCATAAATTATATACGCCAATGTATGTTTGTGATTTTTCTGAGAAATTTTGGCGAGACAGCATCTGCCTGCCTCATATCGGGCTACAGCCATGATTTAATGCACTCGTGTCTTGACTTGTACCTTATAATTAGACATTGAATTCGGGCTAATGTGTATTCTTGTTGCAGTGCTGAAGGAGATCAGAGTGGTGTCAACAATGTCATAAAAGGCAGCCGGGTATATGGGGAATATTTACAGGTAAGTGTACAATTGTATATAGTAGTGTCAACAATGTCATAAAAGGCAGCCTGGTGTATGAGGAATATTTACAGGTAAGTGTACAATTGTATATAGTGGTGTCAACGATGTCATAAAATGCAGCCTGGTGTATGGGGAATATTTACAGGTAAGTGTACAATTGTATATAGTGGTGTCAACAATGTCATAAAATGCAGCCTGGTGTATGGGGAATATTTACAGGTAAGTGTACAATCATATAGTCCTTTTGCAGTAGTTATTCCTTACCCAACCAATACCTCCAGTTGCTCCTTCCCTCATACTGAAAGATCCCAGCCAGTCTTTCAGATCCATTTTAGTAGGATTCCTAACAAGGCACATATGGTCCGAGTATCAGAATTCTTCCAAATACAATTTAGATATCACCTTTACCTATATACCGGGCTTTCAATAGCAGGGGGCGAGCGCCTAAAATCGCCGTTTGTTTTCGATAATTCGCCGTTTGTCAGAAGCCGAATATTGTCTTAAGTTTTAGGGGAAATTAAAAGTCTTCTATAGACTATCCTTTATTTTATTTAGCGATCTTATTTTGCACTTCCTTGTTTATGATTTGTACATTATTTCCCATTGAACATGCAGATAAATGAATGATTGATACAACGCTGTTCAACCAGTCACATAACAGTCTTTCCAATGGGTGTAAAATTGTATTAATCAGTAAAACGTCCAATATAAACTTTGGCTTATCCAATATTATCAAAGTGTGAGATGTGAAACTTTTTATTAATTTCAAAAATGTTTTTTTTGAAGGAACTTTTGTTCAAAATATCCTGAATTTATTAAAAACTAACTTTGAGAGGTTACACTAGCACACAATTCACACCAATGCTAAGCATTCATCCTCACTTGTTTTTTGCCGACAAAATTAAGAAAACTGGTTGATAAATAAGCTAGCAATAAACTCATTCATGGATGAAAGTGGTTCAGGGCAAATGCATTTCAAAATCTTAGTCCTCACAAAAACCAATGGTAATGATATTGAAAACATAATATATTCATCCTTTTAACCTAGTTTGACAGTCAACATTGGTTTATCTTTTAGTTTTGCATAGAAAAAGATAGACATGAAGAAAAGTTGCCATCTAAATGATGTCACGAGAGGTCACTTTTAGGTTGCAAAATATTTTCGATATGCTAAAATATTGAATTGGCACATCAGATATGACATTTTATTGTTGAAATAGTGTAATAGTTAAGGAGATAATATTTTATTGCACTGTATCTAGTGAAATATTTGACGATTAAAAAATTTATGATTAAAAAAATTATTTGAAAAATGGCGGGAAATTTGCAAGTGCATTTGAATTTGTAAACTCCAACCTATGTAAGGGTAAGTTTTCCCATAAACGGTAAATGACATTCTATATAAGTTGCCAAAGTCATTCCACAGTTACAGGTGTCATTTGTGTAGCCCATGTCTTGTGGTCAATCCAATTGACCCAATATCACACAGGGACAACCCTGTAAAAAGTAAAATCCTGGACATCTTTACAATCAGCTCTTAATAGGATTCAAAGTTCAAAACTTTGATTGACTGTACAATAATATTATATTTCAGATACATTGTCTTTGAAATATAAAGCACATCAGAATTTTATATTATTTTTGGCAAAGCCTGTCAATGCCCTTGTTCATTTGTCCACTTCCTGTCCATGGACAAAAATTTGCAATTGTGTGAAATTGGTTGTTTTAAATGGTGCCTCTTGTTTCTTTCATCTGCCTCTTGTGCAGAAAGTTACTGAAACCACTGAATATATGCATTGTTTCCAGTTGAACAAGGTTCTAGATGCCCAGGACTTGGAAAGCAGTAAAGCAGGGAAGCCAGTCCATGATGAACATCTCTTCATAATAACGCATCAAGGTATAGAGTCAATATGAATTAAATATGGTCAAATAAGGGGGAAAGACTTATTACTTTTTAGTATTGCCAAGCATATGTTCAGAATGGACAAGAAAGGGGGGGGGGGAGACTTAAAAGTGGAAAGTCGCGATACATCATACCCATTAAGGGTGAAAGTCTAGATGTACATGGACATTGCCTCCATGGGCATCCAAAAGACATGAAACGTTATTCGAACATGACTGTATTCACGCCTTCTATAATCTGTAAACAAAGTCAACATTTCACCCGGGGTATATTCGCGAACAATGCCCCTGGTAATACGAGTAATGTGTGACGTCATAACGGCAGGCCGTAGTAATGGCGGACCGTAATGAATATTCGAAACATTTTGGTGAGTTTTCATGTTCGAATCGTAATATAGACCTCAGAGCAGGTGTAATATCGTCCAATACAGCCCTAAGGGCAAGGCAAAAACGTTTTCTTTACCCCGAACGACCGAAGCTTTTGTGCCTAGCCCTAATGGGTGTATTCGAAGACATTACCCCTGCTCTCTGGTCTATATTTCTTATTTAATATTTAACAACTGATGATTTAATGTCATTTTTGTATGATTGTAGCATATGAACTATGGTTCAAGCAGACAATATGGTGTTATTTTTGTATGATTGTAGCATATGAACTATGGTTTAAGCAGATAATACTGGAGGTGGATTCAGTGAGGCAAATGTTTGCAGCATCTGTAAGTACAACTTTCTTGTAACGTAAGGCATACTTTCTTTATATGAATGTTAATGTTGCTTGCACCAGCAACATAAACCAGCTGATACAAGCTAATTTCTTTGCCAGAAAAGCACACCTCTGGCCTACCCTAACAATGAAGACTTCTGAAACTCTTAACAGGCCCTCTTCCCTAAGATGGGCCCTAATAATAAAATAGGGGTCTAAAAAAATTTCAACCAAATCCACTAAGTGGTATTTGAATTATCAAATATTACATTTTTACGAGCAGCCATTTTGAAATGCAGCGGCAATTTGGATTGTTTTTCTTGAGTAAACCGCCTGTGTCCCTAAGCATCAGCATACAACACTTGAACCGAATCCGTTACATGTGTTACCAAGTATTAGATTTTTACGAAAAATTCTCGGACGGCCATTTTGTAAATCAGCAGCCATCTTGAAAAACCTATTTTTGGACAGAGCTTATGCTTATGGATGTAGTACACCTGCATGAGAATGAATTTATACTATTTCTCAAGGAACGTCTAAACGGCATACTTAAGTTCATGGATATTTGTGTGGATCTTATCAGATGGGTTCTAAAGAATATAGAAGTTGATAGAACGATACCAGCTACATGTATGTGTGAAAGCTAAGGGAAACTATTTTGAACTTTTGAGCTTGACGGTAGAAGTATTGAGCAGCCACAGAACTGAGATCAAACATAGACAAAAACTAACGTTAATAAAATATACTGTACCATGCTATGAACTATTAAAATTGCTCCGCAGAACCTGTATCCGCGTTACTATGGTAACCATTATTTAACTTTCATCCATTGTGTTTAATACATTTTTCAGGCTAGTTAGAAAAATGTCAATTACTTCCTCTCTTAACATTTGAATGATGAATGACAAGAAAAAAAACGTTTGAGAGCAAAATTAGCTCCACTTACTGAAAACATGTACAAGTTGATTTAAAAGGGATTTAAAACAAATTTTATATGCTGATGCCTCTGGACATAGGAGCTCTTGATGAGAAGACATATTTACAATGGCTACCAACTTACAATATGGCTTATATGTTCGGAAAAATGTAATTTCTGATAACCCAAATAGGAGTTGACGGATTTGTTCAAATTTTATATGTTGGTGCCATATGAGCAGACAAGAGGTTTATTTCCAAAAGGATACAAAACAACTTTACTATTTCCTGATTGTTTCAATCATGTTATGTCCAAAATGACATTGCATTTAATAAAATATATTTTGTTCGGTAGGATTTGCTCCTCCGCAGAGTTACGGTTCTTCATTCTTTTTATTTTGGGCCCAATTTTTAGGAAATTTGGCCCATGATTTTAAATTTGGGGCACCTTATCTAAACTTCACCAAAACATCACACAGTTCTACACCAGAACTCAAAAATATAGCAGAAAAATTCGAAAATTTAAAACAACCCTAAAACAAACCCTGTACTATTTTGTCTTATTCTATAGCGTTATGTTTCTATGTTCTAGGTTTTAGATGAGAGGCACACATTACGAATAATAAGCAGGTTCAACAGGATCGTTCTGATATTGAATGTAAGAATTCCTTCCTTCTTGTCCTAAAATTGAATAAAGGAATATTTCCTTCTTGTTCTAATATTGGATTTTAGAATGTTTCCTTCCTATCTTATATATGGAATGTAAAAATATGTCGTTCTTGTCCTAATATTGAATTTTTCTTTAACACATTGGTAATTTTGAAAGTGTTCCAAAGTATAAATGTAAATAATTCCTCCCAGATAAACAATGTGAATATCCACATTTTTAAGAAATAATCACTTGAACTCCATTAAAATTAGTTCCCAAACGTGCACGATATTGTTCACTTTTATGTCATAGAACATTGATTATAGAAAAAATTAATTGAACCTAAACTCGTTGGATATTTGATATGTGTAAAAGAGCTATGGATTTTCAATAATAGGACTCATTTCAAACCAAAATGTCAGGATTTGTAAGTTTGACCTTATGTTTTATAGACACATCATATGCACTGTTTATATCTGAGTCATTTTCTTATTTTCAGTTGCTTGTTGATCAGTTTGCCATCCTGGAGACAATGACTCCTTTAGATTTCATGGAGTTCAGGTAAATAACCGTAACACAAATGGGAGCTTATACACGTTTACTGGGAATAGAATGCCATCCAACAACGTTTAATTTAGCTATTGTATGTATGTATGTATGTATATCTTTATTGCCCTTTATGAAAAGGAGATACATGTATACAGTGTACAATGAAAATAATGCTGATATAACATTAATGTTAAATTAACATAGAATAAAAATATATACAATATATAAAACACACTTTATACGACTACGTTAGATGAGTGCTAACCATCTTCCCCAAGGTCGATGTAAGCATCTCATCTAACGAACCACAGACGATATAAGATGCTACCGCTATCTCATCGTCCAATTACAACCCTCAATGAGATCATTTGTGCAGAGAGCATAATTGAAAAAGTAAAAAAGGTTTTTTTTTTCAATTATGCTCTTATTAAGTATTCAAATGCAGGCCCATAACAGGCTTTGACAAGGGGTCCACATTTTATATCACCACCAGAGGTGTTGACATATTGTTATTGTCTCAAACTTTTTGTGGACAGTGATAGGGGTTGTTGTTCGGCGTTTGGTGGTAGGGGCCAAATGTATTTTCGAATGACTATTTGAACAGGGTTCGATGCACAAACTCCCTGAACCCCGACCCCTGTTTACAGTCATGGATACATCCGTTCATCGGGGCTAATTTGAATAATTGAATTTTTCAAATACAATAATGTACTATAGATCAGTGGTTACCTTTATATACGTTTTGTATACGCTCCCGTCATAATTTGAAAGTATAATTAGTAGATGTATGTTTTATATTTAGAGGATACTTAGCACCAGCCAGTGGCTTCCAGAGTCTCCAGTTCAGATTGCTTGAGAACAAACTTGGAATAAAGCAGGTGAATAAGTCCATTTTGTTAGTTTAATCATGGGGATAAGGATACACTTGGTGATCAGGCCCATAGCCAGCTTTTGCCACTCTTCAAAGAATTCCAGGGCTGGTTCATATGTGACAACTTGAAAAGCGCTCAGAATGGTGAAAAAAGCATGATTTAAAATATATTTCGCCTTATAAGGGAAGATTGGTTGGGGATGGGGGTCAATCGCAGGGGGGGGGGTTAGGTGCCTGACCATCGAATATTGCACCAAATAGTATTAAAGAGATTGAGATAATGTGTGAGAACAAAGGTCATGAGTTTTCATTATTAATTATATTTTGAAGAGAGAGAATTATTTTGGGATATCTTCAAGGTAGGACTTTTATCGAGCCTAGGAAAAGGTCCGATATTGTGTTTTTTAGCTAAATCTTGTAATCGCGATTCCAGGAAAAACACTTAACAGAATTATTTCAAAATTTTACATATGTTACACGGTAAGAAGTTCTAGAGCTGATAAACTTTTTGGCGGTCAAATTCCTTGTTGGCTTATTTGTATTATAACACATGTTAGGTAAGAAGTTCCAGAGCTGATTAAATTACCAGCGGTCATCTTGCTTTCTGGCGGCCATTTGGAAGTTTTTAGATAAATCTTGTCATTGTGATTCAAGGAAATACACTTGACTAGAGCTGAACTTCTTAGTGGCCATTTAGTTTTCTGGTGGCCATGATGGAAGTACGTGTTTAGCTTAACGTCTTTGCAATTCCAGGGAAACCACGACATTACGATACGATATTAATTTTACAAATGTTACATGGTAAACAATCTAGACCTGATTTACTTTTCGGAGGCCATCTTAATTGCTTTCTGACCGCCAATTAAGACATTTTTAGATAAATCTTGTCATCTTGATTTCATGGAAACCACTTTACGGAATTACTTCGAATTTTAACAAATATATCATGGCTAGAAGTTCGAGAGCTGGTTAACTTTTCAGTGGCCATCTTGCTTTCTGGCGGCTATTTATGAAGTATCTAGATGAATCTTGTCATCGCGGTTCCAGGAAAACAGCTTAACTGAATTACTTCAAATTTTGATACATATAACATGATAAGAAGTTCTAGAGCTGAACTTTTGAGTAGCCATCTTGCTTTCTGGCAGTCATTTTGAATATTACATTACGGATTTCACGATATTACTTTAAATTTTTACAAATGTTAAATGGTGAACAATTCTAGAGCTGATTAACCCTTCGGTGGCAAGCTTGATTCTGACAGGCATTTTGGAAGTTTACAGAAAACTCTTGTCATCGCGATTCCAGGAAAACCACTTGACGGAATTACTTCAAATTTTACTAATGTTACTATGGTAGAGCTGATTAACTTTTGGCGGCCATCATCTTACTTTCTTCGTCAACAAACCCACACTGCTTTATTTTAGGTACAACATTGTCCACCCTGTACCTTGATAAATATCGAAAAAAGTTACGGAAAAATAAAATAATTATGATTTAATTTAGAGAATTATTTTTCATTGTTGATACTTGCGACTCCGTGGAGTTGACATTCAAACACAGGTAGAGTGTGTATATGTATTTTTGCATGTTTTTGTATATGATAGGAGAACAGGGAGATTTTGTAAATATATTCTCATACTAATCATAGAAGAACAGCGTGTGGAGATTATGTTAATGTACATGTACTTGTTTATTATAGGAGAACAGAGTGAGATACAACCAACAGCACTATATGGAGGTTTTTCACGATGACCCATCTGTTCAAGCCCTGAAAGACTCCATATCAAGTCCCTCTCTATTTGACCTTGTGCAGGTAATCATATCAGGTCTTACATTCTTACTATTCTAAAAGTTAAGAATTTCACATTTTAGAACATTACTTCACTAAACAGTGTAACAATACTCTATTTTCTAGTAAACTGACTAGCCAATGATTAACTTAGGATAACGCAATGACATGGTAATACAAGAAAGTACCATACACATACACCTTACCAATAAAAGTCAAAATAATCCAAATGATCAGTTTATATTCTTGATATGAGTAATTCTATAGAGAGAGTAATTGTTATTTCAGAGCTGGCTATCAAGGACACCTGGTCTTGAATTGGAAGGTTTCAACTTCTGGGAAAAGTTTGAACAAGCAGCTAATTGGTGGCTAGATGAGGAGTTTTACCAATCAGTCCAGGTAGGGTTTATTCATTTTGTAAAATACACCTTTCGAACCAACCTTGCCATCGTTTTTAAGCTATGAAATATTGGCTAGATTGGTGATGTCAACGGTTCTACTTTTAGTTTATGCGGTAGGCCGTAGGCTACCTTGTTGATTACAATTTAATGACCAACTCTTGGCCCACACTCTCAAATAGACGTCAATATGATAGAGCTACTTTTATGTATAGAGCTCACAACAACTTGCTGCCTTCTTATGTTACTGAGATATTTGAACCACTAAAAAGAAATCAAACACATGTACTAAGACACCAACAATATCAGAATGGAATCTACTCCCATCTGATATAAAGAACTCATCTAGCTTAAGCATATTTAAATCAAGCCTTAAAAGAAATATTTTTAACGAAACTGTCATTAACTCATCAGAATTGTCCATCTCAAGAAACCAAGAAATTATATTTAACAGAGTACGATGTGATTTCATTTTCAAGGCTCACCTCTACTCGCATAACTTTACCAATGTAAATTCCCCCATCTGCTCATGTGGTACAAACAGTGAAACAACCAGTCATGTGATTTTTCCATGTAACTTGAGATTAACATTCTGGACTGAATTAGAAAACCAACTAAAAAATATGAATATACAATACTCCCGTAAATATAAGACACAACGTGATAAACTTTCTCTGATCCTCAATGGTGATAAAACATTAAGTAGAGCTGAGAATCTGATTGTTTTAAAGTGCAGTGCCTTTTTCTTCGAGCGATGTGTAAATGTCTGAAATCCTCCACAAAACAACTTTTATCTTATTGTATCTCATTTATTTTAATCAAATATTATTGATTGAATACATTGTATATTGTAATTGTAGAACGTGGCTAATAATGCTAAAAGCACAGCCACTTACACTGTATTATTGTATATATCTGTTATGTTGTATGTTTGTATTGTACATGTATTTGCATTATTATAGTATTTATATATTTCTATACTGCGTGTTTGTATCATACACGTATGTTTATGTTGCACGACTATGTAGTATTTCTATAATATCGTACATGTATGTTTGTATCGTACATGTATGATTATATTGCACGATTATGTCATATATTGTTTGCTTGTATTGTATTCCACAGGGGGCTTCAGATCCTGATCTTAAGAAGAGTATGATGGACGGATACTGGAAGAAAAAGGTAACTTTCACTACAAATATTTTTTTACTTGTGATTTTTCTGCATTTTCCCTAATTACAGCGTGAACTCTGCCAAGAGCATACACTCCCATCCATTAGTCTGGCAACTGGAAATTTTCATTTGATGTTTACGTATTTTTAATGTTTAACTCTTTGTTTTTATTAATTTCTTACATTTGTATGGAAATTGATGAAAAACTTCATGATTTCTATGTCACCATCACAACTGGTGATATATTGCTAAAAAATGAAGATGCTACTTTTTTTCATTATTGAAATTGAAATTTTCTTAATTGAATATTGAAATTGTTGACCATTTTCTATGCCCACTGTATGTACATGTAAGTTGTATTGTGGCAATACTCGATAAACAATACTCCATTTGTTCTATTAGACTTCACTTAACATGGGCTATTCGGTTAATTTCTTTTTATTCATAAAAACAATAAGAACAATAGAAAGTTTCGCAAAGTCTACATTATATACATGTATGGTGGAGATATAGATCGTCATTTTATTTCTTAACTAAGATCGGAATAAATGACCATGGTTAAGTCACAATTTAGCTTGTGAGCAGTATGTGCATTTATTATCATCATTCCCCAAGAAATGGTGATATTATTTACAGACACCAATTGCAGTTCGTAACATTTTAAAGGTGCTGTCTCATTTTTTCGTAGGAAACATTTGAGTCCATCTTTAATGAGGAGCTCTATGAGATGGCCATAAAGCGTGGTGAACGTCGCCTCTCCCACAAGGCATTCCAGGGTGCAATGATGATATTCCTGTATCGCGATGAGCCTCGTTTTCACCAACCGTCTCAATTGCTATCTTTACTGATGGACATTGACTCCCTACTGACCAAGTGGAGGTGTAAGTGAAACCCATTGTGATGTTATATTTAACGTGGCAAAAGTTAGAGACAGGAGTAACTTTTAACAATATTTTTTTCCTCCAAATATTCTATGTCGAGCCTGTTTCCTAGAAATGATACCTTTTCTGATTTTATTCCTTTTTAAGTGACAATCATTTCGATGAAGGGGACATCCATATTTCAATTTCAATAAATGTTATGTCCACACTATTACTTATATCTGAGTATATTTATTACCATTTTGAGCCAATCGTATTTGTTCTTAGATAATCATGTGATGATGGTTCAAAGAATGTTGGGAAGCAAAATGGGCACAGGAGGTTCATCAGGGTACCAATACCTTCGCAGTACCATCAGGTAAGGAATTCCAGGGAAGGGATTCTGGATTGCTTTATTTAACTTTGTTTGGTGGAAGCTTTCTCCATGGTGATGCATTTTAACGCAACATATCTTACAAACACCTTTTAGTAAATTACTCTTTATTTTCGCTGATTTAAACATTTGTGTACCCGTGGGAATCTTTCACATGAAATTATTTTATAGATTATTTAAGCAAAGAAATAAACAGCCCTTAGTAAGATAACAGACGGATCTATGAGCCAAATATCAACTTGACCCCCGCACCCAGTATAACAAGTCGTCATGGGTATCAAATTGTTCGTCTTGTTGAGTACATTACAAAAACCAATTTTGACAGATCGGAATATGGGTCAGATTCGATAAATATGACATAATGTTATGTAATCTATTATTATGACATAGAATTTTTTGTAAAGCATTTTTAGAGGAAATGATAAAAAGAAATCATGAGCTAAGCAAATATTAATTGTGTATATACCTTAAAATAAATTTTGATAATTATTAAAAATACTTTGGTCTTAGAATTATGTAATTATTACATAATTTCCATTGTTTTGTGAGTAAAATTGCAATTTGAATTGTTTTCGTTTTTAAGATAACAAAATTTTTGTTCTTAATGATATAAACCACATGTGCTAAACTAATTCAAGCAATAATATCTTATTATGAGTACAAACCTTTATAAAAAAGACTTAATTTTATTGTAAACAATATACATGTATGTCATGCATATATAGCAGCAAATAACAGTACGTGAACAGTGTATTAAGACACAATGATAATATCATTAACCATTTAATCAGATATACTTATCCAAATATTCATGCATATAAAAATCAGGTAACTGTTATGATCATTTAAAACATGATAAATATCAAGTTTTTACATATAAGGGCTTACATCTCTCAATAGAATCATTATATAATATGAAGATGTGATTATTTCAAACATCTTTATTCTAAACATCTGGATATGGTTTTTCCTCAACCATTATTGTGTTTTGGCAATTACCCACCTCACAGGAACAGATAGACATGCACAATAATCCTGCAAGTAGGCAACAAGCCTGATTAGTGCAAAATCCATCTTTACAATAGATTTGGGTAAGACCTCTTGAATTTGAGAGCATCTGGCCCCATTGAATTCTTGTCATCTATACGGCATTTCACATTGTAGAAGCTCATCTGATCCAAGCTTGGATAAATTGCTGAGGTGATCAATGTTCTTGATTAATTTTGTGTAATATTTCCCCAATTTTAGCAAATGAACAGGTAGTGTTACATCCTGTAAGGGTGTGGGCTGCTGATAATGATTTGCAAAACCTTTCACCAAGTTTTCTCATATTATGTGAATTGGGATGAAGTTCTGCTTCGACCCATGGCCACTGTGCATGAATATCTCATGTGACCATGTGAAGCACTATGTGGTAGTGGTACAGAACATGACCAACACATCAGCATCACTGCATCGAACAATTTCTCTGATTCTTACTTTGCTGTCTTTGACCTTTGTACTGCATGGTAAATCATGAGAGTATCTGCCTCATCAAGACATGCTTCCATATACTCTGCACTGTAAGAGCCAGTTGTTGTTATTATGGTCAAAGCCTCCCTTTTTTGAAAACTTCCAGCTAAGATGATTGATTCATCACTTTTTATTTTTTGTCGCATTTTGCACAACCGTTTTGCACATTTCTTTAGAAATTAGCAAGATTTGCCTTATTTTACCATTCCTAAGAAACCATCTGTAATCCTTTTCGACTCGCTTTGGTTGGCATTCTTCATGAGGTTTTTGAGTATTGTTGAATGTACAGATTTCTAACAGATTCTGCATAATCGCTGGCGGTGTAACAATGTGACTTTACCACCTCCCTGATAGACCTGGTTTTCTTACAGCTTTTAACAAAAATCATCTGCAGACTTAAACATCAGCCAGGAACATGCTTCACTTGCCATCTCGATTCACTGTACAGTTTAACAATCCTGGAAATAAGGCAAGGGTTGCTTTCAAGTGCATATTTCCAACTCATTGTCATATTCTATACACGGGATGGTTGAATAGAATCTTTTGTGCTTTGTTGTACAGGGTGGTGAAAAATGGAAACCCTGCATTTTCCTCATATCTTTGTCATTCTAAGAAATTACTCCCTCTATTTCTGTATTTGTATATCATTCACTTTCATACAACCCTACCATATTTTATGACCATCAGACCAATAGTCACAATTTTATAGCACTTTATTATTGCGCTGTAGTCAAACCTGCACAGTTGTCAATGGTCAGAATGCATTCTTCAGCAGATATGGCCTGAATGACACGAATGATCTTTTGAGGTCTGCAATTGTCCTGAGGTCATTCTCATACACTCTATCTTTGCCATATTCCCACAGATAGGGATCTTTTGGTCTACATGTGCAGGTTTGCTGAAAGCACAATAGTGGCCACTGGGGCATGTTCTTTAAAGTACTATAACATTGTGACTATCAATCTGATGGTCATGAAATAAGATAGGCTGGTAGGAAACTGAATGATGCACAAATGTGTAAAATATCAGTGAGTTATTTCTTAAAATGACCAAGATATGAGGAAAATGGCGTTAGGGTTTCTGTTTTTTTACCACCTTGTAAATGGCCTTTTTGGGCCTTCTGATTGTCTCACAAGTCTCCACATCAGGTCAGTTTTGATTGTACTGTGGTAGGAACTGGGCTTTGTCATCATTTCTATATTTTTTTTATGAAATGGGATTCGGTGTTGGTGTCACTTTTGATTTAACTCAACAACCATTGGTTTTCATAGTTACCTATATCTGTGTCTTCCAGAGAAATCTTGTTTGTTTTTCTGTTTGGCTCCTTGTTATCATTATTATTTTCTGATCGTCTATACTAGACCATGGCCATAGAATGTGTTGATCCCTTCCCATCAATAGTGTCTTCGTTTTTGTCAAAGTTATCGATTTTAGCATCCACTACTAAAACCAATATTTCCATCATCGACAGGTTTCTCAATACCACTGAGATTTTTTGTATTTTTACAAAAATGGTGGCCATTTAAAATTAAGCAGTCATGTTGATAATTCCTTCTCCAGCAGAGGTCCTACACCCATAAGACATAAGCCTATAAAATTTGAATCAAATATGTGAATCGGTATTTAAGGTATCACCCAAACCTAGGCCAAACACACTTACGGACGGACGGGTGACTTTTCTATATTCCTCCAACTTCGTTTGGTGGGATAACAAAGTATTAAATAAACTAGCTACAAATAACCTTTTGTTGAATGCATTTAGCAAGACCATCCTATCTGGATGGCCATAAGTTCTAGCGATTCTGATAAAACGGTTACTGTATGGCAAACAGATACTGAAAATCCATAAGTCTGTACTGGTATATATTACATAATATTATATCCTCATATTAATTATGATGTTTGCAAATTGTGAAAATAAAATTGTGCTATCACATGCTTTTATTCATTTTTGTATTTGTTGAAGTTTATCAGTTTATCGCATTAAAGCGTGTCTTGCAACGTTTAATTTCACATTTTTTAACATAATTACATAATAATTACATAATTATGATAAATATTGATTATATATTTCTTTAAATTTTGTAATCAATTTTTTTCTGAAAGCATTACCACCATTATCTGTTGTTATACTTTGATAAAAACCTAACCATAGCTGTTTTAAACCTTGAAAACACAAAAACATAGAAAACAATAAATTATGTAACATTACGCTAATTATCTCGAATCTGACCCATATTTGAAAATGTCAAAATTGGTTTCTGAAAACTTCACATCATACCGAACAAAATGGTACCACATACGTCTTGTTATACCGGGTGCGGGGGTATGTCATAGAAAGAGGCCTCACTGGAATGCCCCTAGCCTGTACTATAAGTCAAAAAATAAATATATAAAAGGACATAATACACTCAGTTAACTCAAAAATTCGAGTGTCAATTGTCAAGGTCAAAATCTACATCATTTTCAAATTTTCAAGGTTATCACATTTAAGTTCAATATTTTTCAAAAATTTCTTGCGCTAAATTTATTTCTAAAGTTTACCAATAATTCTCCCACTGAATGTCTCGATGAAAATTATAACAACTCTGGTTGACCTCCTATGAGCTCCATATGATTCATTTGTCCACATATAGGACCAAATGTATTATATTTTCTCAGCTGAGCATCGACTATCATTTGATTGATTTGTCCATATTACACAGGACCAATTGTATTATATTTACTCAGCTGATCATTGCCTATTATGATTGATTCGTCCACATTATATAAGACCAAATATATTATATAAATAGCCATGTTCAATATGATACATTGATTTATAAATCATTTTAAAGGTAATCCATTTTCCAACAATTTGGTATATAACACTATGTCATGAAATCAATATTAAAGTTTTATTATGCTTATTTGGGAGGCCGGGTCGGTATTTAAGGTATTCAGATTTTACGGAGAAAATAGTTAATCTGCGGAATAATGTTAATTTTTTATTTATAGAATATCATTTTGTTAGGTGAATACATGCTTTTATATTTGCATATTGTGTGACTAAACTTATTGTTTATGAATTTTAGTGTTGTCTATTATCAATAAGTACTCAAAGGGGGTCTGTTAAAATACATTAAATGTATATGTATACATATTTTACAGTATTAAGCATATATTATATGTAGTATATAGTAGTCTAGTGTTAAATCATATATATTCTTTTTGTGTACTGCACTTTCTTGTACCTGACCCTCAGGGGTGTGAATGTACTCAATAAATATTCTATGTGACGAGGATTTTATTTTCCAACAAGACATTGCCTTGTACCATAGATCAAAGCAGACATTGGCATTTCTTTGCAAACAAGGTGTCAATTTGATTGATCTCGATGCTTGGCTACCCAACAGCCCCGATGCTAATGTGTTTGATTACCCTACATGGAGCCATTTCAAGGAAATGGTACAATCAAAAGCATGCAATAAACAGCATTGATGAGCTGAAACAGAATCCTAAAGTGCTAAATTGCAACAGAAATCTCTCAACAAGGCTATTTATAGATTGCGCTACCACTTGAAGCTTATTGTTGATGCAAAGGGGTGGGGGTGGGGGTATATTGAGCAATTGTGAAAATTGTTTAAATAAATAAAGTGTAAAATGTTATTAAACAACACTGAAATTCATAAACAATAAATTTAGTCACACAATGATGCAAATATCAATATCCAAGCATGTATTCACCTAACAAAAGAATAATATTCTATAAATAAAAAATTAACATAATTCCGCAGATTCACTATTTTCTTCCTTAAATCTGGAGACAACCCAGCCTCCCAAACAAGAATAATAAAACTTTACTAATGATTTTAATCCTGATTTGAAGTTGGGTATTGTTTTTTTGGCCCACCCTGTACATGTACCTTTAGATTTACCTTTTCACTGTTCTTATCCGTTTATTTTTTATTGCAGTGACCGTTACAAAGTTTTCCTAGACTTGTTCAACCTATCGACGTATCTGATACCACTTAACTACGTACCGCCACTGACCTTCAATATGAAAACGAGGCTTTTCATAGCGACAGACAATATTGCAGATCTGATCAACAATTTCGATCTTGAGAGCGAGGCTAAATCAGAGGGAAAACAAAAACCAGGTGGGGCGACTTCGCGATCAAGTACGTCAAGTTTATCAGCTGAAAGCATGGCATCTCAATCTTCTGAGGATCTGTCAGGCTGAGATAGAATCTATGTGGAATATACCTGACATGCCTAGGTCCTAAGATACGGGTCATACTCATAATCTAGGCCTACAACTTCAATTGATGGACTTGCTACATATATAAAATATCTTTATGGCTCAGCGTTAAAACTTCAGACTTGAAACCGGAAGATCCTGGGTTCGATTCTCGCACCGGACATTTAATTTAACACACTCTCGTTCATATCTGTATTTGACTTGTTAAGTTACAGCTTCCCAGAGGCGCCTTCTGTGAACATTTTTGACCAACACTGTATAACTTGGCACTTGACAAATTACTGCCTACGATATTGTCACACTCCAGATCTAAAGGTGCATTTTGCAGGTCTAGTAAATCGTGGTTGGTCTTCCTTGCAGTACATTTGTAGACTGGGCTTTTATTTGTAAAATAAGAGTCAGTTGAGTTTTAATCTACGTCAATCAAACCTAAATATAAGTTATCAAAAGAACACAGTGCAATGTTATTGAAAAATACAATTCGTATTTTACATGCAAAGAAGTTGTATATCTTCGATTGCTTGTGTATACATACAGATGATTTGCATCTAAAATATGAACGTATTTTTAATAAGATATTGTGCTGTCGTCCTTTGATTACTTATTTTGAGGTTTGTTCGACACACAACCAAACTGACTCTATGCCTGCATTTTACTAAATGGCACCCCAAAGATATACGTATATTAAGAGTATGTTTACAAATGAAGAACAACTAATGGATATCGATGTATACCTCACATAAGAAATTTAGCGCATAAAAAATTCATTTGACTTATTCAGTAGTTGTATATTCTTTATCAGATATGGGTAAGATTTTAAAACATTTTTATCACTTTTATAATCTCAATGTTTACAATTTGGATCCTTTTCAACATTTTACTCTCTGTATTTTGTGTTGCCATTTTAATCATTTTTGCACATCAGTCAGAATAGAAGGATTTGTATTATATTGCAATATATTCACTCGAATTTAATGGAATATGCATGATTTACATAGGTTTTTAAAGAACATGTACTGTATTACTCAAGATCAAAATAATTGTTGCACATCAGTCAGAATAGAGGGTTTTGTATTATATTGCAATGTATTCACTTTAAATTTAATGGTATATGCATTATTAAAAGAACATTTATTAATCAAAATAATTGTACTTTAAATTAAATGGTATATGCAGAACATGTATTAATCAAAATAATTGTTGCACATCAGTCAGAATATAGGGGTTTGTATTATATTGCAATAAATTCACTTTAACTTTAATGGTATATGCATGATATGTAGTTTTTGATAATAAGGTATTTAAAAGAACATGTACTGTATTACTCAAGATCAAAATAATTGTTGCACATCAGTCAGAATATAGGGGTTTGTATTATATTGCAATAAATTCACTTTAAATTTAATGGTATATGCATTATTAAACGAACATATATTAATCAAAATAATTGTTGCACATCAGTAAGAATACAGGGGTTTGTATTATATTGCAATTTATTCCATAATACTACTGTTTTCCCTGGGAAATAAAATCATATTATCCCTCTTAAAACCATATATACTCGAAAAATCATATTGTCCCTGTAAAAAAATCATATATACTCGAAAAATCATATTGTCCCTGGAAAAAAAATCATACATACTCGAAAAATCATATTGTCCCTATTTTTTTCAAAAACATCATTTTTGCCCATTTTTTCATTTTTTCCAAAAATTTGATTTTTCTAATTTTTTTCCAATTTTCGAAAAAAATCTTTTTTAAAAAATTGCATTTTTTCAAAGATTTTCATTTATCTAAAAAAATTTCAATTTTGAATCATGTTTTTCAAATTTTTTCATTTTTTCCCCAAATTTTCAATTTTTCAAATTTCTTTCATATTTCTTTTTCCTTGAATACTCAAAAATTAGGGAATAAAAAGGTTATTTCATGTATTTTACATATCATGCATATACCATTAAATTTTAAGTGAATATATATAGGTTATTTCATGCTTGATTTTCAATATGAATTTTATTACACGGGAAATATGACATTGACCTCGGTAAATATTATATTCACACTCACTCGCTACGCTCGTTCGGTCAATATCATATTTCCCTCGGTCAATATCATATTACCCTGGAATAAAATTCATATTGAAAATCAAGCATGAAATAACCTATATATATTCACTTAAAATTTAATGGTATATGCATGATATGTAGTTTTTAATAATAAGGTATTTAAAAGAACATGTACTGTATTATTCACAATCAAAATATTTGTTGCACATCAGTCAGAATATAGGGGTTTGTATTATATTTCAATATATAATATATTCACTTTAGATTTAATGGTATATGCATGATATGTAATTTACATAAGGTTTTTAAAAGAACAGGTATTGTATTATTCAAAATCAAAATAAATTGCACATCAGTCAGAATATAGGGGTTCGTATTATATTGCAATATATTCACTTTAAATTTAATGGTATATGCATTATTAAAAAAACATGTATTAATCAAAATAATCGTTGCACATCAGTCATAATATAGGAGTTTGTATTTTATTGCAAAATATTACTTTTTTAATGGTACATAGATTGTCTCAAACAATGTACCCAAAATCATTTTAACAGCAAAATAAACCAATCAATATTTTCAGACGATAGTTTTTGCATGGTCTTTTAGGCAAAGCATGTAAATCTTTCCCTATTACTAAAGGATTGGTATCGATATGGTGAACTGAATTTTACAATGTTTTTCTTCTAAACCAATTGTTGAAAACATTATGTAAAAACACCTTTATGCACTTTTGACTAATTGACAACAAATGAATGCGAATTGTATATATTTTATAAAACTGTTTTTTTTGTAAACATTTTTATGTTTTTAGTGCAATTGCTTTTTTGTTCCTTTTTTGCCAATTGTTGAGACTGAAATAAAAAATATTTCCGAAGCTTGTTAATATAGTATACGAGTATACAACGTTTTCTTAGACCTCACAGTCTTAATGTTATAGTTATACAAAGGACATTTTGGTTGATTTTACAAAAAGTATATAAAAAATTAAAACAAAAAACAAAACAAAAATAGATAAAAATTTAGATAAACCTTTTATTTCATTAACAAGATACTTTTAAAGATATTTTAAATCCAAAGTCATTATTTTTCAAAAGCCAATAGTTTTCAACACTGTACTGGATGAGCGTGGTATGAAGGAGGTTTTGAAAGATGGCAACTTTCTCTTTATGTAGGTTATTTGTGGTTTATTATTCTACATTGATTCTGAAAATATTGGTGTCAAGTTTTTCAGCGTTTTTGAAAGATGAGATTTATACCCCCCTTGTGTGATTTTAAGGGGGGGGGGGTGTTTACTAGGAGAGCCATGTACAATTCTTAGAATATACAATCAATCATCTTGATATTTACAGGTAATTTATACCTTTTACATGTTCTACCATTATGACAAGTTCCATCAAAGTTGGTCAACTGGTTGCTATGGTAACGGAGATCATATGTTAAAAAAGTACACATTTTCGTAAAGATCTAAGACACCCCCTGTGACAAAACACATATTATTTTCATGAATTTGGGAGGAATATCCCTTGTCGATGATTGGATGGATATATAAGCTGCAAAACAGTCAGAATTATTTAGTTAATTATATATTATAATATAGATTTTATTAGTCACTTTACTATTAACAATCTCAATCTTCAAAGCCACATAATATAATTCAGATTAGGCCTAAAACCAACCCCTTTATCAAAACCATGTCGATGATTGGACAGATATATAAAGCTGCAAAACAGTCAGAATTGTTCAATTAATAAATATATCATTAGATCTTATTAGACACTTTACTATGTACATTCATAATCATTAAAGCCACGGGGCTTTATAATTCAGGTTAGGCCTTAAGCCAACCCCTTTATCCAAACCTTGTTGATGATTTGACGGATATATACAGATGCAAAACAGTCAGAGTTCTTTAGTTAACGAATATATTATAATATAGATTTTATTAGTCACTTTACTATTAACAATCTCAATCTTCAAAACCACGGGATTTTATAATTCAGGTTAGGCCTAAAGCCATGCAATCCCTTTATCCAAACCTTGTCGATTATTGGACGGATATATACAGCTGCAAAGCAGTCAGAATTGTATGGTTAATAAATATGTTATTAGATCTAAATTTGCAACAGTCACAATCTTTAAAGCCGCTTGGTTTCATTATTCAGGTAAGGCCTAAAGCCAACCCCTTTATCCAAACCTAATCAAGGATTGGAAAAGGTCATAATGGCCATGTGAAAAGATGATCATGCATTTAAGACTATTTGTAAAGATAACTATGCATTTAAGACTAAGTGTAAAGATGGTCATGCATTTAAGACTATGTGTAAAGATAACTATGCATTTAAGAATAAGTGTAAAGATGATCATGTATTTAAGAATAAGTGTAAAGATGATCATGCATTTAAGACTATTTGTAAAGATGATCATACATTTAAGACTATGTGTAAAGATGATCATGCATTTAATACTAAGTGTAAAGATGATCATGCATTTCAGACTATGTGTAAGGATGATCATGCATTTAAGACTAAGTGTAAAGATGAGGATGCATTTAAGACTATGTGTAAAGATGATCATGCATTTAAGACTATGTGAAAAGATGATCATGCATTTCAGACTATGTGAAAAGATAATTATGACTTTAAGACTATGTGTAAAGATAATTATGCAAAGACTAAGTATAAAGATGATCATGCATTTAAGATTATGTGTAAAGATGATCATGCATTTGAGACTATATGTAAAGATGATCATGCATTTCAGACTATGTGAAAAGATGATCATGCATTTAAGACTATGTGAAAAGATGATCATGCATTTAAGACTATGTGAAAAGATAATTATGACTTTAAGACTATGTGTAAAGATAATTATGCAAAGACTAAGTATAAAGATGATCATGCATTTAAGACTAAGTGTAAAGATGAGGATGCATTTAAGACTATGTGTAAAGATGATCATGCATTTAAGACTATGTGAAAAGATGATCATGCATTTCAGACTATGTGAAAAGATAATTATGACTTTAAGACTATGTGTAAAGATAATTATGCAAAGACTAAGTATAAAGATGGTCATGCATTTAAGACTATGTGAAAAGATAATTATGACTTTAAGACTATGTGTAAAGATAATTATGCAAAGACTAAGTATAAAGATGGTCATGCATTTAAGACTATGTGTAAAGATGAGGATGCATTTAAGACTATGTGAAAAGATGACCATGCATTTAAGCCTATGTGAAAAGATGACCATGCATTTAAGACTATATGTAAAGATGACCATGCATTGCAGACTATGTGTTAAAATGATCATGCATTTCAAAACATTTTTAAAGATGAGATTATTATGCATCTCGAATTGTGTTAAGATGGTCATTATAAGCATTTAAAACTATACGTAAGGATTATCATCACGGATCTCTAATTATATATAAAAAATGGTGATCATGCATTTCAGACTAGTGTGTAAAGATGACTATGCATCTGGAGTATTTCTCCATTATTATTTAGACTCATTAACTATTAGCTGCATTGTGTTATGTACAGGGTGTCCTGAAAGTATGCCCCCCCCCCCTAGGCAGACATATACCAGTGTCGTCATAGTATGTGTCATATATCATTTTAAAGCTTATCCAAAGTTACATTGATTCGCAAAGTATCATGGTTCAACTCTCAAATGTGAAGAAATTACAGGCATTTCAAAATTTAGTGTTTGGTCAAAATTAAGTTCAATTTTACACCAAATCACTAGTCAATGTGTCCTCCCAGGCCATCTTAACAGCAGCAATTCTTTTCAGGTCGGATGGATATTGAGTTGGAAAAAGAGAACGGTGAGGGTAGAAACTCTAAGGAAACTCTTCTAAAGTGCCTTAACATGTCTTAAGAGGGTTATAAAACTCCACACCCCTATTTGAAGGGCTTTTAAGGTCATATCTGAAAACAATTGCTGCTGTTAACATGGCCAAGGGGGACACATTGACTAGTAATGTGGTGTAAAATTGAACTTTATTTTGACAAAACATTAACTTTTAAAATGACTGTAACTTTTTCCCATTTGGGAGTTAAACCATGATACTTGGCAAATCAATGTAACTTTGGATAAGCTTTAAAATGATATATGACACATACTATGAGGACACTGGAATATGTCTGCCTAGGGGGGGGGGGCTATACTTTCGGGACACCCTGTATATTGAAGCTGCAGAATATGCTGTGACGAATATTGTACATGTAGCTGCAGATTCAGACCTGCCAACCTAAATTGAAAAATTTGCGGTAGATTTTTAAAATTGTGGTTCTTTTACGGTATATTTTTCCAAAATCCGCTAGTTTTCTGGTATTTTTGAAAAATGTGGTAGTTTTTGTGGTAGATTTTTTAGAATCGTACTTTTAAAACAACAACACAAATATGTACAACATGTCCCCACCAATGGGCGATCCTATAAACTGCACATGCGGAATGCCTAACACTAATCAGTTGAAAACACGATTTTAAGAAGAAAATCCTATATGTCAGTATGTGGCCGCCTTCAAATTTCAATCAGTTCCAAAATTTTCATACTAAGAATCATCCCTTAAAATTTGAAATTGATCCCTCAAACGGTTAACGTGAAAATACATACATACGACTTTACAGGCACGATTTTAGGACGGAATATCCAAAATGGCCACTTTAAAATTGACCCAAAATGCCGAAAAGGTATCAGATTATTGTCATTCTAAGAATCATCCCTGAAAATTTGAAATTGATCCCTCAAATGGTTGACCTAAAAACGTGAAGATAAGACTTTACAGACAAGATCTAATGACAGAAAATCGAAAATGGCTACCTTAACATTTACCCAATTTGCTGAAAACTGATCAGTTCTAGATTTTCTTTCTAAGAACCATCCCTGAAAATTTGAAATTAAATGGTTATCCTTAGAATTAGCGGAGAATTGCCTTAACAGACACGATTTTAGAACGGAAAAAACCAAAATGGCCACCTCAAATCTCCGCAGAATACTAAAAAAAAGTAATGAGTTCTAAATTTTCAAACAAAGATCTAGAATCATTTTCAAAAATTTGAAATTGATCCCTCAAACGGTTAACCGAAAATCAGTTCTTGATTTTAATAGTGAAAATCATTCCTGATCCGTCAAATGGTTATCCTGAAAATGAGTAAACAAGGCTTTACAAACAAGATTTTAGGACAGAAAATCCGAAATGGCAACCTTAAAATGTATTACCCAGAATGCCAAAAAGTTATCCATTCTAGATTTTCATACTAAGAACCAGCCCTGAATTTTTTTAATTGAACCCTCAAACAGTTAACCTGATTACGCGTAGACAAGACTTTACAGACAAGATTTTAGGACGGAAAATCCAAAATTACTGCCTTGACATTTACCCAGAATGCCCAAAAACTGATCACTTCTAGATTTTCATACTATGAATCATCCCTGAAAATTTGAAATTGATCTACCAAACGGTTCATTTGAAAATGCGTAGATAAGACTTGACAGACAAGATTTTAAGATGGAAAAATCAAAAATGGCCGATAATAAAAATAGTTATAATAAAAATAAAGTTTTAAAGGCAACTGTGAAGTCGTTTATCTTAAAGTTTGCAGACTATGATTTTAGCATTTAACTTCAAAATTGCCGACAGGAAGTAAGTATCGAGTCAAAAAATATTCTACCACATTCTTATGAACTCATTAGTTATCCCTGAAAACTTGAAGGAGATATCTGTAGCGGTTTTGGAGAAAAATGTCGGACGCACGGACGGACAGAGAGACGCGCCTAGGCCGACAATATGGCCTACACTATATGGGGACATAATAAAACGATAGTTTTTGCATTTTTTAATAAAAGGAGGGATTTTCGTAAGCATTTTTTAAAGCAGCAGTTGTTGCAGTGAATTTTAGAAAAAATAGTTTTTGTGGTTAATTCTGAAAATACAGTAGTTGTTAGCGAATACATAGTTGATGTTGTTGAATGATAACCCCCCCCCCTTAAATATTATTCTAGGCTCAGAATCCTTAGTCCACAAATCAATATGACCCAGATACATGTACTCGTACATGTGAATTGAATGTTTTTCAGAATTTTTTTTCTAGCAAGTGGCCATCTGACTTCCCAAAACCCTACTAGAGACTCCACTAATATGACAAAAAATTAATAAGTATATAATGCTGATGATTGGTCTGTTTATATACATGTACGGCTCAGAAGAAGTATTTTGAGGGTTTGCTCATTTAGTTTTTACCTTGCAATTCTTTCTACATTTTCCTGGCCGCAATCTAAGAGTAAAATAAAGAAGTGAAGTTCTGTTAAATTTCTTTAAAAAAATACAGTAGATTTCAGCTAAATACGGTCGATTTCTCACAGGAAAACGGATTTAAAAAAGATAGACTTTACTAGATATACAGTACAGCGCATTTTTACGGCTACAGTACGGTAGATATATTTACGATAGATTTGCGTAAAATACGGGAGGCTGGCAGGTCTGATATTGAATACACTTGAACATGCATCGCGAAGCTGCAAAATGCACTGTGATAATTTGCCGTAGCTGCAGAATGCACTTCAACAATGTTTATCTTGAAGCTGTTAGGCCTAACTATAATGCATTTGGACTTGCGCAGTACTGTAGCTTCATTGTTCCGTAAATAAGTGATAGAGTAGCTTATTTTGAGATAGCTAGCTAAGAGTAGAACCTGTCTAATCAGAACGCCACTGGAACCCACCATAAGTGTATCTATTGGCATGTGTTCACATTTCAAGATTTTTCAAAAAGCGTCCACACAAAAAGCTGTTCAGATTAGAGGTATTTGATAATACAGGTTTTGCTTCACTACTGTATATGTAGTCTTTGTTATTTGGAATAAATTTATATCTGCTAGATACGTATATTAATTTACTGTTAAATTTTTCATTGATTTGTAATGGAATATTGTCTCATAATCATCACTACAGTATGTTCATCCGGAGTGTGCAAACTGCAACCAGGCTCCCAGTAACGCTGGCCCTTATTGGTTACAATTAATTACAGTAACAATCTGACAATAGCAGTCTGGTTGATACATGGACCCATTTTAATCGTCAGTTTCTGTACCTACAACAGAAACTCTCCCTCAACTTTTGAATTATCATTTTTCACCAACCACAATTTAAACTATTTATAAGATCAACTTTTTTACATTTCAAAGGTGACTTGGTAACTATAGGTCAGATCTCAAATCTAATGTCAGATTTGAACTCCTTCAAATTTGTTGATGAATTTTAAAAAGATTTGATCAATTTGAAGCAAGTTGAAAATTCAAAATTGCCGATTTATCAAAAAATCAAAATGTCCAACTATATACATTTAATTTACCCAGCATATCCACAACCTATTCAGATCTTCACACTAGGCTACTCGTGCATCTGTAAAAATTTCAAGTTGAACGTACAGGTGGTTTTCTTGGAATTTTGATAACAAGATTTATTAAAAAAAATCATGACAGCCTATAAATGCACATTCTGCAAAAAAGAGGAGTATATAAAATAAAATAAGGAGTATATTCTGATATTGGAAGATGTACATATGTAAAGCTGCACATTCTGCAAAAATTTCATAGGAGTTTATTCTGATATTGAAAACAAAGAAATCAGAGAGATATTATGAGTACTTTATGACCACCTCTTGTTTGTAAATTAATGTGACTCTCTATGCCTTTTGATACACATGGCAAATATATGATTTATACCAAGTACTAAATAATTCATAGTGTGAACATTTTATATATTTGAGAACTATTTATTTCGTGCTACAAATTACTGCATATATGTATATACTGTGAGTGTGTACTTTACATATTCCAAGAAATACAATTAAATAGCAAACTTGTATACATAATATGGTTAAGTCTTGCCCAAGTCGGTATTTTTTACTTATCTGATCTTGAATTATTAGAAATCAAAATAAGTAAAAGAGACCGACTTGGGCAAGGCTAATAATCTGGCAATGTTGCACTAAATTTGATGTTACACATTATACTTGTTTTGGAATGTGTTCTCTATAAATATC